CCAAATTATTATGAAATATGCATAATGAGGTCTCCCACTGCATTGAATGTAGTAGGAATATCCAAATGCATTGGGCAGTAGAGGCCACTAAATGGTTGAAATAGAGAGAACCATTAATTAGCAAGCCAAATTTGATGAGAGTGGCCTTTCACTACTAATTAGGCCTCAAGCTTCTGGTCAATCTTCTCCATCATGTCTTTATACAACAAGCTTTTGTCTCTTCCTTGTCCTACATCCACATGAGTACCAGTATTCCTACCCAAATTTGGTGCAAACTTTAATTGTAGTTCCTGTGAAAAATGAAATATATTAGGAGAGAAAACTATTAAGGATATTAAAGTGTACTTGACTTTCTCTGTGCATTTGGTCTCCTTATCTGAATACCTAGTCCTCTCTGCGGAAGGCCCCAAAAAAAAAAAAAAAAGGAAAACAGTTTGGAATTAGAGCCATTAACATTACTTAACTTGATAAGAGACAAAAAAAACTCATTGACATTGCATTATCGTCCCTATCCAATTCGCAGGAAAATGCTTATACTCTCCGGCCGTCACAATGAAGAAAATCCCAAAACATTATATCATCATGGCCACTAACCCTTGTTCTTTTTTTTTTTTTTTTTAAAAATCTTTTCATTTTGTTCATAATCTCAACCACAAGCATGTCATCAGAATAAATAACAAAAAATATATATGATTTATTACTAGCGTTTCTCTTTTCCTTTTCCCCCCAATTTTCACCCTTCTGATCCTAACAGCAGCAACTCTATGACCACTACCCAAAAAAAAAAAAAACAGGATATTAATGATGGAATTAAGTTTCATCGCTAATCCGTAACAAATTCCGTGACAAAAACTAGTGATGGAATTTAGTGATAGAATTTTTCTGTCACTAAATTACTAACTGATTAGTGACAGAATCTTATTCTGTCGCTAATTTTGTTGTAAAAGGATTAGTGATGAAAATTAGTGATGGAATTTGTTACTAATTCGTCTCTAACTCCCCTGACAAAACATTTTGTGATGGTATTAGCGATAGAAAAATTTCGTCACTAATTTTTGTCACTATTCCATCACAAATCTGTCACAAAAGATTACAATATAAATATATAACAATTCTTTTTAACATTTATTATTAAAATAAAAATAATATATGATAATTTTTCAATAATATTAATAAATGAAAAATACAAATATTATAAATAAAAATAAAATAATAAATATAATATACTTACTAGTTTATTTAATATTTGAATAGAAATATTAATGATTAAATATTTTTTTGTAAAATAAAAAATTAAATTGAAATAAATAATAAATAATAATATAGTTATTATATATATTTGTATTTGTAATTAGAAACATTATATATATATTTTTGCATAAAAATTTCGCAGGTGTTTCTTAGCTAAACTGGCAAAAGTTTCAGCATGCATGTAGGAGGTGTTAAGTTTGAACCACTACTCCTTCACAAATAATCCAATTTGTGATGTGGTGACACCATGGAAGAGGCAATGACGTGGCATCGTGGGAGAGGAGGTGATGACCTAGACGATGGGATGATGTGGCGACATGAGGGAGAAAGAACAGGTGGCGAGGTGGAGAGTAATGATGATGAGTGATTGCTATGTGGTATTTTAAATTTACAGAATAAAAAAATTTAGTGATGGAAATTAGTGACGGAAAATTTCCGTCACAAATTAGTAATAGAATTTTCATAAGATATCTATTTCTAATTAGTGACGGATTAGTAACAAAAATTTTTCGTTACTAATTTTGGTCGTTAATCTGTCAATAATCTGTTACTCCTTCCGTTTCTTATTATAAGAGACATTTGATGCTTATGGTATGTTCCTATATATAAGAGACACTTAAAAGTTGTCTCTACTTTTTTGTGTTGATTTCTTATTTTACCCATATTTATTGTCTCCAATTCACAGTCTCTCTCCTTCCCACTTCTCTTTCTTTTAATAATTTATCATTGTTCTCTCTCATGCTCTCTCTCCTTATTAATGAGGGCATTTTTGGAAAAAAAAATTATACTTTTTACACATTGATTGTTCTTAACTAATTTTAATTGTTTTTTTTATCAACGTAATTCGGTTATTCGTCTCTTATAATAAGGAACGGAGGGAGTACTAATTAGTGACAGAATTTTGAATTTTATCACTAAATAATTAATGATGTTGGAATTAGCAACGGAATTTTATCACTAATCCGTCTTTAATCCGTTGCTAATTAAATTTCATTGCTAATTTATTGTTTTTTGTAGTGGACATCCAAAATGATGTCACCGTATGATTTTTACTTGTGCTATATATATATATATATATATATATATTACCAAACACAGAGTAAAATTACAGTAGTAAGTAACTCATCATTATTTTTCCCTCTTGCTTTAAATTCAATACTATTTTTGGTTGCATTAGCTTTTCCAGCTTACCAAAAGAAGAAAAAGCTACTGGGTATCCAGTTGAAGATAAAAGCATCTATATATCTAAGACTTTGAAAAGAAACATGATTGAGGCAATAATGGAAAGCGTAAAACTTTATAGTACAAAAGCGCAGTAAAAGAGAGAAAGTTTATGATTCAGGATTTGGGCATTGATGAACAAAAGAAAGCGAAGGCAAGGCTAACAAACATAAGTAAAAAGCAACAGCAAAAAGAGGAAAATATGGGAGCTGATTCTCCAACATCACAAGATCAGAAGCAGTTGCCTATAAATAGTAATGTAAATTAAATGCTGTTCAACTGTTATGTTATGTACTGAGGTGAGAGTATCCGAGGTAACAGATTCTTCAATGTACTTTCATGAAAAAGAGAAAACCAAGTACGGAGATTTTTATGTTTCCTTGTATATTTCCGTTGTCTTGTCCTTTTGTTTCGCGTTCTTCCCCCCAGATTGGACCACCCAAAATAGTTTCGACAGGTGAATCTGTAGTGGATAATTCTGCAATGTTATTTTTAATTGATATTGGCCATGAACTGATAAAGTAGCTAGTTGTTGTTAGTTGTTAAATTATATGCACTGTGCTTAAACTGGTTATAATAGAATTATCATATGTTTAATCAATATATATGAACTAGCATCTTCCTTTAAATTTTAGATCAATTGGTTACTACTAGTCCTCATGACTTATGCAAGTTATAGCATTGCATATGACTCAGGGTTTATATATGGGATTCAGGGTTTATATATGGGATCGATTTTGCGACCTCCCATTTAAATAAGAGCTTTCATACTACTAGGTTTTATGGCTATAGGCAATTGAATTCTAAACATCTATCTCAATTTTTCATCAAGTTCATGAGAATTTTGTGAGAATTTGGATGGTGTGTAGTAAATCAAAATGAGAAAATTAAATGCAATGTAAAGAAATAACCTAGATGTAAAATTATAGGCCATATATAATTGACTAAATAATGCAACCAAAAACCAAGAACAAGTATTTCAAGACAGCAAAAGATGATAAATTGGACAGATTTGGAAACCCAAAGGAAGACACAAAATTTGTCTCTTTCTATGTTGAGGAGAAAAATTTTCACAACTTAGAAGTTAGAAGTTTAGTGGTTAAAGTTGAATTTTAATTAAAGCTTCAAAGTGCCATCATGTTCTACAAGAGTTAGATATGACCATTTTCGTGGGTAAGAGAAAAGACCTATCAACTAACCCAAGTCTAAGTTTAACTAGCTTTACAAGATTCTTGCTATTTCACAAGCATGCTTAATTTAGGGGGAACTTCTGTAGTAAAGAATAAGACAAATGATTAAGATTTTGATTTAATTAAAACTGTGTGACATACTTGATGATATGTCATAATGTAATACATCAAATCATATTTCATAACAAAGCATTGGTCCCTTCAGGAACTAGTCACTTTGAGGGCTGGAAATTGGTGGGTACATCATGATTATCCTATCCCTGTCATGAAAAGAGCTCCAATTATTTTCAAGCATTCAAAATTTGGGGAAGTTCCATGGATATATTAATCTAGATATCTATATAATTTATACTATATGTATACGAAGTTATGTCATATTTAACTGGTGAATAATATTACGATTTGTCAGTGACTTGCAGGTTGCAGTTGATTAATTTGAATAGATTAAAATAGTTATTAAATTATTTTAAACTATTTATATTCATCGTTTTTCTCTAAATTGGTTTGCCTCAGTTATAAATTAATATATATATATAATCTATTGATTTACATAAATATTTTAGAGAGTTCATGTCACATATATTATAATTAAGTAATTTAGTAACTTTTTTAATATCTTAAATTAATTAACTGGATCTTATATTAAGGATAAGAGGTAGTATTAGACAGTGTGCATTGTTGTTTTGTGATATAGGTTTTATAAGTTACTGTGTCTCCCAAAATGATCTTGTCACAATTTTTTTTTAATGTAATGTATGGGACGAATCTCTAGTTTATATATGAAATATGTTATAATAATCAAAGAAATGTTGCTTTTTTTCCCCTTGGTAATAGAATATTAAAAGATTTCAGTGCATTATTTAATGATCTTATTCTTTTATGCCAATGTAATCCCCACGTTAACAGCCAACCAATGATAATCATGAATTATTATGATGATAATTTCGTGGCCCCACAAACATGAATGATAATCATTTCTATTAATGCAAAAAGTTTTTGACAAGTCCTCATGCTCCTAAGGAGAACGGAATTAAGAATTTTGAATTTCATTTGTTTTTCAAAAGGAGGTTTCACCGTTTAATGAACGCACCAAAGTTTGGAACAATTTCTTTTAAAAGAAACGTATAAATTTTTGGCCGAAAAAAACAAAAACGTATAATTAATTTGATCGACTTATTAACTTGGTTGATGAAAACTATGCATCCCGTATAAAGGATATTTTGATGGACTGAGAAAATGACCTTTTTATCCTTCAAAAGAACTAAATGACTATCAATACGTTGTCAAGGAATACGAAAATATTAATTTAAAGCAAAGAATATCTATAGAAAAAACAAATTAAAAATAAACAACACGGTAAAACCATACCCACTTACAGTTTAAAAACAATACATCTCTCACACCAGCAGTGTACGGACAAATACTTTAGATTGCCAGGTCAAATAATTTACATGTGAAACTATTGCAGGGTAGTGATACGGAGATTGGATCTCTGAGATCCCTGCAAAATACTTCCCATTCCCAAGAGCCATTGTTACACAAATTTCAAGGTCCTCACTTCAGCCAAAGTTAGTTCCAAAAAAAATCCAATCTAAGTTAGACCACTTGAAACAAAAAATCCAGATCTCCACAGCAAAATCCAACTGCTTCCAAACACCCATAATCCGGGCAGAAAAAGGAAACTCCTTTTTCTCCCTTTTGTTCTTGGAGGTTACTGGGTTATAATAACACATGCAGGCATCACCTTAAATTGGCACTCCCAACTCTGTTCAAGTGGGTTGAAGATGGATAGACTCTGTTCCTGAAATCTCCATCCCTATCTGAATCCCAGAACCCTTGAACACTTCTCCCACTTGAACTGTATCTCTCAAATTCCAACCTTTGCCTAGGAGCACTCTGAGATCTAACCTTAGCCCTTGATGATTCAGTGTTGGCCATGTAATTTGGATAGCCAAAGAAACCCCAAGAACACTCACTCCTTGTGGGTGTGAAAGGGCCTTTCCTTCCTCCACTTCCAGGTCTAGATGAAGCCGAAAGTGCTTGTGGGCTATTCTCAGCAGTTCTTGAAGCTGATGCTACTTCTTTCCCTTTCTGAATTTTCAAGGAGCTCAGTGATGAGAGGCTTTGGTTTAGAGCTTTTGCCGAGCTTTTTGATGGAGAGTCATATGCCATCTCACTGTTGAGGTAGTCCGAAGCCATGTAGTATTGAGATGCGTGGAAGGAGCTGCTACTTCGGTGAGACCTGAGGTGTGGCTTCCATGTGTCCACTTCAAGGATCTTGTCACTCTTCTCATCATCAGCACGCACATTTCTCAGTGAAGCGTCTCTGGAGTGGCTCCAAATACTTTCTTCCATCCAACGATCCAACCAATGTGATCCAAACTGTGCTCTTTGTGGGCCAATCTCCCTAAAATTTGCATTGGAGCTACATCTCTACAAGTTTATACACAAGAATGCAATTAAAAATTGGAATAAATCAATTCCAAAAAAGAGAAATGCCACGTCAACGAGCAAGAAAGCAGAACGGTTTCTTCATCATGTCTAACTGTTTTCAGTAACTTTTTTTAGAAGAAACCATACACAACTTCCCTGAACAATATAATCAAAATTGCATCTATGATACCACAAGCTATCAGACTCCAGTTATGCATATCATGTGCAATTGATGCCTAAAAACTACGTGGTTGTAGTATCTCAAGCATGTGTAAAGTTGAAGGACGTGGTGGAGACATCTTATTTTCTGGTAGTCATGTGATTTTTAGACTTTCATTTTGACAAATTAGTAATATTTTCACTCCTCGGAAATAGCCTAGGGTGTTAAGTGTAATTTTTTAAGGTCATGCCCCCAAATGTAATTGAGCTGTAATCTATATGATTATTAATTGTGGACACTTAATTATTCGTTCTTGGGGGAAGAAATTACCATTGAAACCATAAAAAGATATCAAAAAGCAATTTATGGGAAGAATCACAGGTACCTTTAGGATCGATGATCCATCAACCTTAGTACTATAGGCACGAAGTGGATGCTCATGATCTTCAGGGACCTGCGGTTAAATAATTAAAAATCAGACAGGTAAATTGCATATAAAAGTCCTTGAATGTGCAAATGAATATTAGCGTGAGGTAGTAGCAGAGAAGTTTATGAAATTGAATGCACTCAGCTCCAACGTAGACAGGTTACACCATTTTGTATATAAGAAAAGTTTTGCATTAGGTCATTTGAGGCTACTTCAGATGATAAGGGCGAGGTAGTATATGAGCAGAGGTCCAAGGTTTGTATTAGCCTTTCCAACACATTTTGCTTTGGTTATTAAAAATTGAATCTGGATTATCATGCAGAAAGCAAAATAAGTTTTCTTACAGGGTGGTAAAGCAGTGAAGACTTGCTAGAAGGCAGATGATCTGACACGTGCCCACGACTTGCACGTGCCCGAGCCTGCAGTCTGACCAATGTTTGCATGCGCCTGAGCATGTCTGCAGTTTGCTTTCTCACTATGTGGCCTCTCACCAGTGCTTGCAGCTTCACCAATGCTTTGAGTGCTCGTAGTGCTCTCCTTGCCTGTAAAATCCATCCCAAAAATTTCAGCTTCTCTTGCTCTAACAACACTATCCAATAACAATCAAATTACGCTCTCAGGAACATTTTCAGAAGAAAAACAATGAAAATCCTTGATGAGGTAGTATAATTTTTAGCCGCTGAAAATTACAAGCCTCAACTAATTGTTCTCTGAATCTCAGAAATGTGGAATTTAGTGCTTAAAGGTTTTTGACTCACTATTCTTCAATGCCCAAATCATGTACATATTAATTATTTTTGCCCTCCTTTTTTGATTGGCTAGAATTAGCAATTAACAAGTAGAGAGTAAATAATATACTTTTAACTTCAAGCATTGAATAGTTGAAGCATGAGTCTTTGAAGCCTCGGTATGAAATATAGCACGGACCAAACAGGATTAAATAAAGAAAGATAGACCAGACTAGCAAGCATGTAAAGGAGCATAGACTGGTGAATGAAATCATTAATAAACCCCATACTCACATGCAGCCACTTTGAAAGGGGCAAAAAATTCCTTTATTGATGCTTCCTTTTAATTCACTGAAACTTCCTTTGCTACACTACCTACCTTCGCAGTCCTAGCACAAGTCCAATGAACTTAGCAGCCTTACTGTTTACTTTAATTCCTCCTAAAAGTATACACCCAACTATTTGCGTTCTTACCCTTAGAAACTTTCACGTGAAGACTAGAATATGACTAAAATTTTAATATAAAATATGTTGAAAAGCACTTTTCCTTCTTCCAAAAGTAGCTTCGTGCTTTTCATTTGGCAAGGCCTACCATTCAGACAAAGTCCACTACATGGTTGTATCTACTCTCTATTTCTCTCATAAATTAAGAGACCCCAGCACCGAAAATTTTTACTTCCGGACTTGTCCCTCAGTGTCCTTCCCTTACATTTCATAGTAGGACATAGTTGATGATGCGTTGGCACAGAGCCACCCACCTATGGGGTTAAGCATCCTCTCATCTTTTCTTCGAGACAAAACAATAGTCATTGAAATTGATATATCTTTATTTTGCTATATAGGTCACTCTACTTTCCCTACAGGAAAGGCAATAGAAAAAGTCTCACCGAATATGTGGGGCTCTTATATCCACTTTTCTCGACCATTATTCTCATTTCTCTCACATTCAAACTTCAAACAGAAACCCATTGCCAAGTTTCGTCACCACACAACACCGACGTTTTGACAGAAAGCACAAAGAAACACCCTCTCGATTTAAAGGTGACCCAACAAAACAATAAAAAAAATTTCTAGAGCACTTGGTGACGAACAGTAATTCGTCGTGTGACACCCCAATTATGTTTTAGGCACACAAAAAAGTTAAAAATTGTAAATTTACAGTGAAAACTACAGGGGGAAGTTTAGACGAATATGTGGGATGAGTCAGAAGATGAAATCACACACGTGCCGAATTGTCGGCGGCAACTTATTTATTCTGTCCAGACTCCACACTGGAGAGCGCAGTTTCCAGAATTCTGTCCACTAAAGAAAATTTGGTTTTATAAATAATTATTTTTGGAAGTAATGAGGTTGTGTGGTGCGGTAGGAGGGGACGATGACCACTGTCGCGAAAAATATCGTTTAAATGAATAAAATATTTTTACGATATTGAAAAGCATGTAAAATATGAATATATTATTAGCGTTTGGCTACTGGGAAAAATCACTTTAATGTTGGAAAATCGGCAACAGCTAACCCAGACAGAGAGGCAAGTGAATTTTGAAATTATCGTTGAGAATTCAAAATTGAAATCGGAAAACCAAGCAAACGAGTGAATTCAGCAAGAAGGCCTAATCTCGGGAATAAGAAGCACGCAGCGTAGTTCCAGGGTAATAATGTCAAAGGGGAAATTCAGTACCGACCAGATAAGACCGGAAAGCGGACTGTATTTTAACGGCAGCCGCTTGCTCCACCCACCGGCGTTGGCTAGTGCTGGCCTGTGTCGTGCTCACCGGTCGAGTGACGGTGGGGCCATTGGTTAGTCGGACTACCTCGGCGGCTGCATGGGCAGCGGCTAGTGCAGCCTCTGCTACGGCGGCCGTGGCCGCCGCTACAGCAATGGCATGCTTATTGGCATCTAAAGAGTCGGAGAACGTTGCAGAGGAATCAAAGTGACTGAGATCAGATCCTTTAGTTTTCGAACCGTGAGACTTGTCCTTTTTGGTTTTGCTGAAGCTCCATTTCTTCTTGTCCTTGCCGGAGGAAGCGGAGGAATGAACCGATTTTTTGGCGCCGAAGAGTCGCCGGAGAAAGCCCATGGCTCAATGGTGAAGAAGAAGGGTGGAGATTGTAGCGAAGAAGAGCATGGTTCCGGAATTTAGGTCTCAGAGAGAGAGAGGGGGGGGGGGGGGGGGGGAGTGAAGGAATTGGAATGGTTCAAGAGGCAGGGAACACTCGGATTATGTAGTTGCAGTTGCGGATTTGGATGTGAGAGCTCGGATGTCAAGGTCCGGTTGCACGCGCTTCGAAAGAGTTCGCATCACGCGCTGCATTTCTTTTTCTTTGCTCATCACATATTAAAAAAAGTTAAGGTGTAAATATACCTATAAACTTATACTAAATGTGTGTCTAGTACTATAAACAAACTTTCGGTATAAAAATATACATGATAATTTTAAAAAGTTACAAAAATACCATGACCATTAATTATTGTAATGTTGACCATTTATTTCATTGAAAGTGCTAACGTGGACACTGACATGGATGCTGATATGGTTTAGAGAGTTTGATAAGAAAGTGTGAAGATACAAATATACCTACAAGCTTGTTCCAAATAAGGCTTGACACCATAAACAAACTTTAGGTGTAAAAATACCTATAATCATTTCAAAACAACCCTAAAATACTGCAATTGTTTAATTAATCAAAGATGACTTTCTAATTCAAACTTTTAACTAAAAAATGTGACATGGACCCTAAGCCAATGTTTCAATCTCCCTCCTTCAAATGCAACTTGCTTCTCCTTTCAAATAATCATGTTTCAGTCTCCCTTCGATCCCAATGATGTTCTCTCCTCACTGTTGCACTTTTACTGAAGAGAAACAAACTGAAACTGTTCACAAAACTTGCTCCTTCATTTCATATATAAAAGTCTCTCTTTTTTTAAGAAGAGCAATACTGCTCTCTCTTAGTTGCTCTTTTCACATCTCCTCTAGTTTGCTAAGAGGAGAGGCTTACACTTGAAGGAGAAAGATTGAAACACTAACTCAACATCTATGTCACCTTGTTTGGTCAAAAGTTTGAGTCAAACAGCCGTCTTTAATGAATTAAGCAACTATAGCATCTTAGTGTCTTTTGGAATGATAGTAGGTATTTTTGCACTTTAGGTTTGTGTATGGTATCAAGTGCACATTTGACAAAAGTTTATAGGTATATTTGCATATTCACTCTTTTTTATCATACTCTCTAAGGTATGTCAGTGTCCACATCAACACTTTTGGTCAAATAAATGGTCAACATTATAATAATTAACGGTTGTGAAAGTTTTGTAACTTTTTGAAATCATCATGTAAATTAATAAGAATTCTAAAAGTACTGACTAGGTTGAATTTTATTTTTTTCCCCTTACTGAGCTTAAAATTATGTCATTTTGAGTTTGAGAAAAATAAATCAAACATTTTGTTTAATTATTTGTGATTTATACATAAATATTTATTTTTATTTACCTGTAAATTAATAATTTTGTATCTAAATGTTATTTTTATAGTTATATTATTTAGGGTTAAGGTGCAAATATATCTATGAACTTATACTAAATGTGTGTTTGGCATCATAAAGAAATATTGAGTGCAAAACTACACATGATGATTTCAAAAAGTTGCAAAAATGCCATGACCGTTAATTATTGTAATGCTGATTGTTTGTTTGACTGAAGGTGCTGACATGAACGTTAACATGGATGCTGATGTGGCTTAACATGTCTGATAAAAAAGAGTGAAGGTGCAAATATACCTATGAATTTGTCCCAAATATGTGCTTGACACCATAAACAAACCTTGGGTGTAAAAATACCTATAATCATTTCAAAACAACCCTAAAATGCTACAATTGTTTAATTTATCAAAGATGATTTTCTAATGGAAAAATTGCAAATAAAGACCCTCCAATATATAAAATGGCAATCAGGGACCTTGAATTTGAGAAATTGCTCACAAGGATCCGGTCCCAATTTGCAATTATGAAATCATGGCCAAATTATCAAAATACCCCTCTTTAATTTTTTTTTAAAAAAAGAACACCACTGCCTCGCCGGAATCCGACCGCCGGCACCGGAGCTCCGCCACCCCTGCTGGATTCCGGCCATTGCGGGCGGCCTTCCTTTGTTTTTTTTTGCAACTGTATTTTTTTAAATAGGGGGAAGTGAGGTTAGGGGGATTTGATCCCCCCAACTTAATGCTTCCCAAAATTAGGAATAACTATCGAACCAACAAATTTTTACTAACATTATAATACAAAAAAAAATATAAGTTAACTCATTTACTCTTGTTCCAGGTGATAACAACAATACATTTAGAAATAACAAGTTCTGATTGTAAAATAACACGTTTGGAATGAAAATTTAACAATATGTTTTTTTTATAACAACAAATTTTATTGCAGGTGATAACAACAATATATTTGAAAATAACAAGTTCTGATTATAAAATAACAAGTCTGGGATTAAAATTTAACAACACGTTTTTTTTATAACAACACACTCTGTTTCAGGTGATAACAATAATACATTTGGAAATAACAAGTTCTAATTATAAAATAACAAGTCTGGGATTAAAATTTAACAACACGTTTTTTTTATAACAACACACTCTGTTTCAGGTGATACAATAATACATTTGGAAATAACAAGTTCTGATTATAAATAACAAGTCTGGAATTAAAATTTAACAACACGTTTTTTAGAAAATTATTTATATTATGATTTTGGAAAATAAATTATTTATAAATTATAAAAATATTTTTAATATATTTATTTTTTCTAAAAAATACTTTTTAATCTATTATCTATACAACTCATTATAAATCAAACTACTTCTTATAAATTATAAAGCATTTATAATTAAGTATTTTTAATCTATAAATCATAGTATAAATTTTTATATTATTTCATTCTTTAAATATTAAAATTTATTATTAAGTATTTAAATATTATAGTATAATTTATTATTTCATTCTTTAAATATTAAAAATAGTTTTTATATTTAAAGAATAAAATAGTATTTTTAATTATAAATTAGAGATAAATTTCATTTATAAATTTTAGCAATCAAAAAGTATTTTTAATCTACAATAAATTGTACTATTTATAATTTATAAGAAGTAGTTTGATTTATAATGAGTTGTATAGATATATAGATTAAAAAAAAAAAATTAAAAAAGTGTGTTGTCATTTTCCTTAAATTTTATTTATGAATTTGAACAATAAAAAAGTATTTTTAATCTATAATAAATTACACTTCAAGTTCTGATTATAAATTGGAGATAAAAATTATTTTTTAGAAAATTAAATAGATTAAAAATACTTTTTATAAGTTATAAATAATTTATTTTTCAAAATTATAAAATAATTAATTGTTATAAAAAAATATGTTGTTAAATTTTAATTCCAGATTTCTTATTTTATAATCAGAACTTGTTATTTTCAAATGTATTGTTGTTATCACTTGGAATAAAATGTGTTTTTATATAAAAAAAAGGTGATGTTAAATTTTAATTCCAAACTAGTTATTTTATAATCAGAACTTGTTATTTCTAAATATATTGTTGTTATCACCTGAAACAAAGTGTGTTGTTATAAAAAAACATATTGTTAAAATCATAATCCCAGACTTGTTATTTTATAATCAGAACTTGTTATTTTCAAATATATTGTTGTTATCACTTGCAACAAAATTTGTTGTTATAAAAAAAACATATTGTTAAATTTTCATTCTAGAAGTGTTATTTTACAATCAGAACTTGTTATTTCTAAATGTATTGTTGTATCACCTGGAACAAGAGTAAATGAGTTAACTTATATTTTTTTTTGTATTATAATGTTAGCAAAAATTTGTTGGCTCGATGGTCATTCCTAATTTTGGGAAGCATGAGGTTGGGGGATTTGATCCCCCAACCTCACTTCCCCCCATTTAAAAAAAACAATTTCAAAAAAAAAAAACAAAGGAAGGCCGCCGGCAATGGCCGGAATCCGGCCACCGGCATCGGAGCTTTGGCGGCCGAATTCCAGCGAGGCAGTGGTGTTTTTTTTATAAAAAAAATTTAAGAGGGGTATTTTGGTAATTTAGCCATGATTTCATAATTACAAATTGGGACCGGGTCCTTGTGAGCAATTTCTCAAATTCAGGGTCCTTGATTGCCATTTTATATATTGGGGGGTCTTTATTTGCAATTTTCCCTTTTCTAATTCATACTTTTGACTAAAAAGGATAACACGGACCCTAAGCTAGTGTTTTGTCTCCCTCCTTCAAGTGCAACTTGCTCCTCCTTTCAAGTGATCGCGTTTCAATCTCCCTCCAATCCCAATGATGTTCTCTCCTCGCTGTTGCATTTTCATTAAAGAGAAACAAGCTAAAACTCTCCACAAAACTTCTTCATTTCATCTATTAAAGTCTCCCCTTTTCTAAGAAGAGCAGTGCTACTGTCTTTGTTGCTCTCGTCATGTCTCCTCTAGTTTGCAAAGAGGGGGGGCTTACACTTGAAGGAGGAAGACTAAAACACTAACTTAACATCTATGCACCTTATTTAGTCAAAAGTTTGAGTTAGACAGTCATCTTTAATGAATTAAACAAATATAGTCTCTTAGGGTTCCTTGGAATGATAGTAGGTTTTTTTACACCCTAGGTTTGTGTATAGTGTCAAGTGCACATTTGACAAAATTTCATAGGTATATTTGCATCTTCACTCTTGTTTATCGTACTCTCTAAGCCATGTCATCATCCACATCATCACCTTAGGTTAAACATACGGTCAATATTACAATAATTAATGGTCGTGTCATTTTATAACTTTTTGACATCATCATGTGTATTTTTACATCCAAGGTTTGTTTATAGTTCCAGACGCACATTTGGTATAAGTTCATCGGTATATTTGCACCTTCACCCTATTATATATATAATATTTTTGTGTATTTTAATTATAATTTGATTAACCTCAGATTCAATCATGGGTGCATTCTTTAAAGTGCATAATATATTACTAATGGGGTTGGATCTAACAAAATGGTTAGTTCCTTATAATACGATAAATTAATGTTCGAATTTTTGTTTAAAGAAGTGTCCACATTTAATGTCTCGAATAAAATTACTTACAATAAAAGAACATATCTATGCGTAGCCCAAAAAAATCGATG